GGGCGGGCTGGGAGGTCCCCGGGCGGCGGGGCCGGCCCTGAGGGCTCCTGCGGCCTCTCCCTTGCAGCCACCATTACTTCAAGTACTGCAAGATCTCGGCGCTGGCGCTGCTGAAGATGGTGATGCACGCCCGGTCCGGGGGCAACCTGGAGGTGATGGGGCTGATGCTGGGCAAGGTGGACGGGGAAACCATGATCATCATGGACAGCTTCGCCCTGCCGGTGGAGGGCACCGAGACCCGCGTCAACGCGCAGGCGGCCGCCTACGAGTACATGGCTGCCTACATTGAGAACGCCAAGCAGGTGAGGAGAAGGGGCAGAAGGTGTTTCTCTTCCCCCGTGGTGTGGCTGCAGAGCTGGTAACCTCATCGCACAGGAACATGTTCTGGGGTTTGCAGGCTCCCCGCCTCCCATGGTGATAACGTGGCTGTCCAGTTGCCCTCTTTCGTCTCACATACAGCCAAGAGAACTGTGTCGGAAGCAAAGACCCCTTTAAACATTTTCACATCTGTATCTCCATGTTTTACAGCAGGTCAATCAAGTACTAGATTCTCCTTTCCTTTATAAGTGATTTTCATTGCTCAGGACGTTTTTTTGTGGCTGCAGCTGGTGGCTTGTGGAGGGAACATGGAGGGAATGTGTTTCTAAAATAACTGATACAGTACAGGTTTCTAAAAAAAAACCGATGCAAAATTAAATATGAAATGTGTATACCTCAGAGATACTATTTGTAGCTCAGGGTTATTATATTTAATCTTCTTGCCTTCTGAAGTCTCACTGCATAGCCATCCTGCTGCTTTCTATCGAAATAAATACATGAGTGAAGAAAATGCCAATGAAGGAGTAAGTAAGTCTCAGTGCAACTTCATTGTTCATAATCTGGATATTTAAATGGACCCCTTGCTTGACATCCGTGACATATTAAGCTGGACTGTGTAGTAAAGTTCTCACACACAGAATTATAACAGGAATACAGATCTGCTCTGTGGCTGGTGTAGAAACCAGCGTGGCACATCAGAGCACCTGCTGACATACGTGCTTCTTCCAAAACAGGGCAGTCCTGTGTTACGAATAAGCACTGAAGTAACTCAAACTCTCCAAGCTGAAATAGTTTTGAGGCCTAGTTTACCCTTTGATTTTTCTTTCATCCTCAACATATTTTAAACCAGATTAAATTAGAGGCCCCTTATTCATTGGAGAAAACAGAGCAGTATTTGGGTTATTTTGGAGCGTTGTGCTTGTATTCACAGTCTTATGAACAGTTAGAGATATTTAAATAGATGTGAAATAGACTGGATCATAACACCAGAATCTGAAGAGTAAAAACAATCCAGAAGTACATATGTTCTAGGAGGTTCTGGTTGTTGTTTTCTTTTAATAATTCATCCCTGTTCATGAGAAAATATTTTAGAAATAATCTAGTTCCTTTTATCTGGAAACTATTAATGTTATTATGCCAACAGTGTTGTTGCAGGAAAGTAGGTAACTTGAAAAAATGTCTTTAATCAAAGATGTATTGATACTACCTAGTTCTTAGGTAGAAATAATGGGTTTCAAAGTCTTAAGTACATGGCATAAAATTGGTGTATTTTTTATAGAGAGTTCATTTAATTTTTAAAACAGTCCAGGTTTATGTAAGGAATACTCCTATGGTAGAAAACATTTTTCCTAGTTGTTTATATTTTACAGTTTTGTTTATAGTAGGTTTCACAGTTCAGAAATTGAATTCATATACAAATATAGTAACTCAGCTTTACTAGTGCTGTGGCAGAGTTTGCATGCTGACTGTTCCATATTTGATTTTGGCAAGCAGTTGTTTCTGGAATAGCTCCTTTTAGTATTAGTTTGCAAGTTGACATATTCCCCTGCATAAGTACTTTACAGATGTCAATATTCCAGTTACTTGCTTCTCCATGGGCAGGATCTGGTGTTAATATAGTCAAAACGTGTTACTTGGCTTTGAAAAATAACACATGTTCTTAGTGTTTTGTTGGTCTCTCCTCCTCTATTATGGGAGGTGTAAAGAAAATATAAATATTATTCACTACTTCAAAAATAAATGTTCCGTTCAGTAGGCAGTTTGTGTGTCCTGTCTTAATAATATTTTTTTTCTGATTTAACCTTGCTGAATTATTCAGTATTTGGCAAAAAACAAACTAAAAAAACAAGCAGGTGATGCATCCAAAAACACAACTCTTAATCACAAACTGGCATGTAGGGTTGTACCAAAATTATTCAGCTCAGTATGGAGAAGCCAGTAAGCAGTTCCTGAGAGAGCCTTACAAAATTTGGTGTCATGAATGTCCATTCTTCTTGGGTTTATTTTATTTGGATTTTTTCCAGTATTTATAGCTATATTATTTGGAGTATTATTGGGAAACTCCTACTGTGAGGTTTTCTAATCCTGAAAATCTCAAAAAATTCATCCTTTGGCTTTCACAATGTGCTCTGGCAGTAATTTCTGTTACTTTCGGTGTTTGAAAACACATCTCTTAGAGATATTATTAATAGGTTTAAAAAATCACTTCAGTGTGTCTCTGAGATGTGACGTAATGAACATTCATTCTCTGCTGACATACCATATGTTATATGAGATTATATATATTTATGTCATATCCACCCTAAGAAACTCCTTCCAACCTGAGGAGTTACAGTTTACCATCTCACCTCATGGAAACTCTTCTGTATACTTCAGCTGTCTTGAAGAAGGAGCTCCTGGCTCCTTCAAGTTCTTCGTTCCATGGTAGAAGGTGTAACAGAGCATGCTAACACTACAGATTGCATGGTTTCTAGGAAATAGTTTAGCAAAATCAGGTGTATGTTTAGTTTGGTGTTAGTAAGCGAGCATCGCGGGCTGTGTGGGGGGGAGGCTTTCTTACCCTCTCCCGGCGTTGCAGGACGCTGGAATGCCCAATAGAGGGCAGCGGATACTTTCGGAATGGAAACGGACACTGAGTTTGTTTTCCTTTTCTGCTGTTAGGTTGGTCGTCTAGAAAATGCAATTGGCTGGTACCACAGCCACCCTGGCTATGGCTGCTGGCTCTCTGGGATCGACGTCAGCACCCAGATGCTTAATCAGCAATTTCAAGAACCCTTTGTAGCCGTGGTTGTAAGTATTGGCTGATCGCTGATAAAGCTGCATAGCAGATTATGTTGAGGGGGGAATCAAGGTTCGATTTCTGCCCGTTAACATTCTGGTTGTGTGTATTTTGCAAGGTGGAAGTGTTGGATCCAAACTTCAAAGGCATTTGGCTCCTTCTGCTTTGCTGGTCACATACTGGTCAAAGCACTAGTTTTGCTTACTGAGGCCATTTTCACTGCATTGTTCCAGGTGTGGTAGCACTGAACAAATCCATACGTTACTCTTAGACTTCTACTTGGTTGCTTTTTCAGTCGAAATACAGCAAAGGGTGCACAGACTTTGCATCTAAAATGCTTTTGAAATTAAATCAATGGCATAGTACCAGGTAGAATAGACTAGGAAATGTATCTTTGTAGAAGAAATCTGAAGAAATTCTTTAGGCCCTTTCAGGTCTTCCAGCCTTCACATCATATTTGAAATCAAAAGTAAATCTTACGTTAAATACTACTTATGTTACCATTGTTGCTGAAGGAAATAAAGGAAAAAAACCTGAAATAAGTAATACAACTCTGATGAAAGAATGACATTAGGAAAGGACAGCTGACCCTTTAAGAAGAATTTCCACCATATGAATTCTCCTAGATTGTGGCATAATTTCACAGATTCAGAACACTTTCTTTGGGACTGCTTTTTTCTTCTTTCTTGTTTTGGTTGGTTGTTGTTTGTTTGGGGTTTTTTTTGGGTGTTTTAGTTTTTTCTTCTTTTTGAATTACTTTTAAAATTAAACAAAGTTATTAGTGTACATGTTAGCAAGGAGATTCCTTTCTTACTTTTCTGTATTTTCCTCTGAAACGCCGCAGATCACATAATACATTTTCTTACCTCTAGTGGCTCTAAGATGAAAATGCAGATTTTTATTGATTGCTCTTAAGTGCAATTTCATTAAAGTATTCGGGAAATAAGAAAAATTAGTTTGAAAAAATGCCCATAGAAGCTACTGATACTCCTCTCTTTTTAGAAAGTCTCACACAAAGTTGGGTTTGCCACTTGAAAAAGTTCTTTATGACAAAACTAATACAATTCACAATAATTTTCTGAAATACAAATAGTGTAGAGTTAATTTATGCCTCTGATAAGTTATAAAATGCTTGTTATGGGCATTATGTTATGTATTTCTACAGATTGATCCAACAAGAACAATATCTGCAGGAAAAGTAAATCTTGGAGCATTTAGGACATATCCTAAGGTAAATAGTTTAAATTAGTGATCACTAATCTGTATTTAAATAAATAATAGATTGGTTCTAAAGATTGCTGTAGTTTGAACATCTTATACTTTGATCTGCTATGCTGTACTGTATGTCATTGTGTATTCTGAAAGAAAGCTGTGCCGATACGCTGGTTGTTGCATGTGTTTGGATATTGATTACGTTTACCAAAATTAACTTCTGGTTTGTTTGCCATAGATCTTTGGCAGTGTTTAATCAAATAGACTAAAATTATATAGCTCCAGATAAACATTTTAAATGGGTGTAGTTGTAGGTAGTATTCATCAAAATAAATTTCTTAGTACTTCTTCATCATTTTTTAGACCTAAGCCCAAACATTAATAGTGTGTTTAATATGTTTTAATCTGCTTTTCATTTTAGAATACTCAAAACTATCTAATTAACGCCTTAAAATAAATATTCCAAATCTTCAAAATAATATACAAAAACAAGTTAATTAAATAACATGGAAGCGCTGGACTAAAAACTAGAGTATCACATCAGTATAGGAGATCTAGATCTCCAAATGCAGTCTTTTATTTATACTTCTAGCAGAGATAAACTGTGATATTTAATTTTGGTCCAATAAAGTTCAGGTGTATCCTTCAAATTTCCAGCTATTGACTCATCAAGAACTTCAGGCTAACATCCTGTTGTAATTCACAAAAATGTTTGTGAGAGGTTGCATTCAAGCATTTTTATGTTGACGAATATGTGAGAGATCTTAGAACATACTGTGCTTCAGCAGAATATTCTCTTGTATAGGCAAAACAACTTCATAAATACTTCCAGAATTGTGAGCGGGAAGAAGAAACCTGTGCCTGAAAATCAAATCATATATATAGAAAGTGCAAGTTAGAAGAGTCTTTTTAGGGAGTCCTCAAAGTGGTCTATGGGCAGTTCTTGCCTAGTCAGTAGCAGTGAGTGGCACCATCTTGGCTAAATAAGTAACTGAAGTTTTAGGTCTCCCTAAGGCATATCCAAGATCTGGATGCCACCTATCCTCCCTCAAAAGAGGACTGAAACAACTTCCAAGAATAGGTAGAAAAATACTGTCTTAGAAGAGGCCTACTTTTTCTTTGATCTAAGAAATTACCTAATTATATGATTGCTGTGACCACTAATTTGCTTCCAACATGCTTTTTGATAGACTGTAAATGACTACTAGTAAAGCCAAATGAGCTCCATGGAAATTGAAAATTTCAGACAACTGGGGTAAATTTCATTTTCCTTAGGAAAAATAAAGTAAAATTGAATAAACAAGAATTTGTGGATTATTTTCAAAGAGTTTAGGTATTTTTAAAAGTCCAAAAATTATTTTGTCATCTTTGGCTTTTGTTGGATTTTTAGGGCTATAAACCTCCAGATGAAGGTCCCTCTGAATACCAGACTATTCCACTTAATAAAATAGAAGACTTTGGTGTACATTGTAAACAGTAAGTAACAAAACTACCAGATCTAGCACAAGTTCTCAGGTTTTGTGTCTAGGTTGGTCATTCGGTATGGAAAAGTATATTTCTTGGAGTGTTTAAAATCTGGAAGTTCTTTGTTGCTTTAACATTGTTGATTTTGTGAAAAGTTTTATTGTAATCTATCAGGAGATATTTTAAGGGAAAACTGTTATGAATTATGAACATAAAACCATAACATCATTTTGTCTGGAAAAGACCTTTAAGATCACTGTGTCCAGCCGTTGACCTAGCTCTACTAAGTCCTAGCTCTACTAAGTCCATCACTAAACCATGTTCCTAAGCACCACATTTACACATACTTTAAATACCTTCAGGGGTGATGACTACACCACTTCCCTGGGCAGCCTTTTCCATTGCTTGACAACACTTTCTGTAAAGAAATCTTTCCTAATATCCAATCTGAACCTTCCTTAGCAAAACCTGAGGCTATTTTCCCCTTGTTCTATTGCTTTTGACTCAAGAGAAGAGATCAACCCCCACCTCACTACAACCACTTTTCAGGCAGTTGCAGAGAGCAATAAGGTCTCTCCTCGGCCTACTTCTCCCCAGGCTAAACAGCTCCTGTTCCCTCAGCCACTTCTCATAGGACTTCTTTTCTAGACCCTTAATGATCCTGTCCACTTTGAATGCTGGTGACTACTAATTGCTTCATAGCAGCAGTCTGGGTAATCTTGCCCAAACTTCTCCCCTTTAATTGGTGTTCAGTGCCTAACGTGAAACTGCTTCCATTTAATCTTTTAAAGTAAGTTTATTACACTATTCATCAAACAACTTGGATTTCTATTTTTGAATGTGCCACATGTCTCTTTGAGGAACTTAGTACCTCATTTTTCTTACCATATCATCATAGAACCATCATCCATAAGTTATTATTTGCCATCTGTATCATAGCCATATATGAAATACAGCTATTTGTTCTATCACAGAAGTGTTGAAGTGAGGTGTGTTGGTAGATCTTAAAGCATTACTATCTCAGATGGAATTTCTTACAGAGAAGAGAAAAATAACTTTCCAGAGACATCGAGATGACAGGATTATTGATAACCTGCTCAAAAATTTCCTGATCAAAATAAAGTTTAATTTAGCTCCTTAATGTTGCTGTAATTCACCTATACTAATGACTTTGCATAGCTCAGCTTTCTGTCTGCTTTATAATCTCTTGTGAATTCTGTAGCACCAATAAAGCCTGGCTTTCAAAATCGACAATCTTACGTTCTGCCACGTATGTTTGTAACATTTGCTGCTATGAAACATTCCTAAGTAAATTAGAGGCCATATATGCAAAACTGCAGTCACCTGTAAGTAACAATTAGTACAGTACTGAGAATCCTAAGCATGGAACAGGGCATCATGGCATCACACAAGAAGTTTTTCAAATAATAATTAAAAAGCCTTTGCAGTCTCATTAAACAGAATGTGGCAGTATGTGTGGGGATCATCTCTGCCCATATTGAAGCTATATTTGAAATATTTATGGAGAAACTTTTAGAGTTAGAATTGGAACTGGGGATAACTTTTTTGTTGTTCAGTGCTTTAAATTTTTTAATATATTTGCTGTTGGTAACAATTTTTTGAGATTTATGTAGTTTAGGTGTCACAGCCAAACAAGACACATTTAAATGGAAGCTTATTTTGTTTCCATGTTTGTTTTTAAAGGTATTATGCTTTAGAAGTCTCATACTTTAAATCATCTTTGGATCGTAAATTGCTTGAGCTCTTGTGGAACAAGTACTGGGTGAACACTCTCAGTTCTTCTAGTTTGCTTACCGTAAGTACCATTGTGTGCTATCCTGTGCATTTATTAATTCATTGATGCTGAAAGCCAGGCCCTCTGCTGTAAAATGCTTAATGGTACACTGATAGATATAGATCTCACATTCAGGATTTGTTTGTCAGATTAAACAAGAAAGTTTTCCTAATCATAAATACTGACATGTTCCTTTTGCCTGCTGTTCTAAAAGAAGGTGGTAATATCTTCTGATTTTACTGAGTTCTCTGTACACTTAGATTTTTGTCTTAAGCACCTTTTAACTTTGTATCTCTTTACAGCACTGTAATGAATATTATACCTTAAAATTTTGGTATTGAAGAAGTAAACACTTTAAAAAAACCCAAACAACAACAAATAAAAACAACCCATAACCAATGAAACAAACAAACAAATCTAACTCTTAAAAAGTAGTTGCAATAGAAATTATTGCAGGTGTACCTTCAGTGTAACAGCTCAGCATCAAAACCTTCTCCAAAAGCCAGTTTTATACCTTTTGGTGTAAAATTTTGACATATTGGTCAAAACCAACTGAGTTTTACTTACTTTTCCATAACTTAGGGCATGGAGGGAGAGTAATAAAGAGTGCCCATGTCAGGCTTTAGGTATTGAGCATATGTTAGATGTTCAGGTGCTGTTCTCAGCTACCACTTACGTGCCACTCATGTTCTCTGTCACTTCAATTGCAGACATAGGTTAAAATGTGCAGTACTACGGTCTTAAAGGCTCTTTTCAGATTTTGTTTATTGTGTGTATAAATGCTTGAATGTATAGCTTAGAATTCAACGTCTATTGCCTTCTTTCTCTTAAGAATGCTGACTATACCACTGGCCAAGTCTTTGATTTGTCTGAAAAATTGGAACAGTCAGAAGCTCAGCTTGGAAGGGGCAGTTTCATGCTGGGTTTAGAGACTCATGATAAGAAATCAGAAGACAAACTTGCAAAAGCAACAAGAGACAGGTAAGATAAAACATACTGGTGTTCTTCCCTGTAAAAAGTGTTATTTTGTTTTAAACTTTTATCATGTTTTTTACTGTAACCTATGAAGACTATAGATAAGAATTATTAGATTATAGATAGGAATTCAACTCTTCAAATGTCACTAGTTATTTTGGAAAGTTTAAGAAAATCTTGCCTTTATTAAAGCTACAATCCCTGAGATCAGACTGCAAAATTCTTACACAATCTGGAATGTTCTACTATTCAGATTTTTGTAGTCCTCTTCCTCATAATTTTATCCTGATCCATAGAACACTTTTCTCTTATTCTTTCCTCTCCCAAGCCCCATGTTAGCAAAATGTACCATAGTATAAATTTTACTAAGAAACTGATTTTTGAGATACTAGATAAATTATTAGTTTAATGATAGGTTAAAAACATCAAGAGCGGAAAATGTGGCCTTGTGTGAAGAGACTTATTTATAAATAATTTACTTCATTTACATCTTGTTCAAGATGACTCAGGTGAACATGGGCTTTGTCTTAATAAAGAAAGGAGTCAGCTTGTGTTGGACAAGCCTTTGTTCCACAGTAAGCACTGGGGGAACACCTGCAAATGTAATGTCGTCATCACTAAACAGACTCAGAGCTGCTGTTGTGCTGGTGGCTTGTTGTCCTGGTGGCTTCTGTGCCCTTTTTTCCTTGTTATGGAAAGTGCAGAGCTCTTGCAAGTTTTCTAACAAACATGATCAAGTTGGAGGGGAGGATCGAGTTCATAGAAGTGAATACCCATTTAGACTGTTTTAGTTGCAGAACCATGTACAATGAACTTAAAGCTGTTGCTAACTCACAACAGCCAGGTTAAGTGATACTTCCCAGTTTCTGTAGTGAATCAGTTACAACAGCAATGCTTTAAAGACGTGAGAAGGATGGAGTTGCTGACAATGGTGCTTTGATTTTGATCTGTTTGGTGTCCCACAACAGTGACCACATTTTTTGTTCATGTTTCTCACACATGCTTACAGTTATTCTAAGAAATTACTCCTTTTCTGATCATCTTATTGTATTATTTCTTGCAGCATCATCAGTAGTTAGTTTATAAACTGTAAGACTAGAAGAGATTATTGATGTCATAATTTCTGCTCTCTGTGCAACACAGGCTACTGTAGTTCCCAAAATGGATTGTAACGCTTTTACAGATAAATGTTTTTCTTCAACTAATAATCTTTCCTAAGAAGAGAGAGAAGATGGCAGAAGACCTGTGCAGACATAGGATTTCTTTATCTATCTAGTAGTAATTCATCCCTTTTCTCAATGCTGTCAGGGCTGATTCATCTTTTGCATTTGTCTCTTCTGCTTTGAGACATTTTTATTTGTTTGACATTACATCCCCCTAAGCCGGGCACACTAAATGAACCTTGGATCAATAGGAATCCTCTCAGCTGTTTGAAGTTTTTGCCCATATTACATATTTTGACTAATGACTGATGAGTTCTATAAACTCTTCTGTTCTCTGTGAAGTTTATCCCAGGAGCTATGGTTGCTGTGCACCACTAGCCTGGGGTTGGGCAAAGGAGGTACGATAGAGAGCAGCAAGAGCCTTCAGCTGTTGATAACAGCTGGTAGCTCTATTCCCCCAGGGATTTATTTTTTTAATATTTTGGTTCAGATGACTGCAGAGCTCACTTGCTGTTGTTAATGTAATATGTCCTAAATGGCCAGTCAGAGAAGTTTTCTAGAATGGGTCTTTATGTGTATAGTGCTTGTCAGTTTGCTTTTTAAGTAACAAAAAGCTGTTGGCAACAACGGCTAAATTGCTGTGTGTGACTTTTTCTTTCTGGACAGTTGTTAAGATTCATGGGGTTATGGGCACCCTGAACTTCCAAAACAGCTGAATATCTTCAAATAAAATGACAGTTCAGTTCAGTGTTGGGCCAATGTTGAATTTATGCTTGTTTTTCAGCTGCAAGACCACCATAGAAGCTATACATGGATTGATGTCTCAGGTTATTAAGGATAAACTTTTTAATCAAATTAATATAGCTTGAAGTGCATCACCAGCTGATATGCATCTCCAAAGCAGAAAAAGTCATGGTTTCTTTCGCTTGGACTTGTTTCAATATGGGAATTGAAGCTAGAGTGGAAAATTATTCATTTAATTTGTAGTACTTTTAATATTTCCCACCTGTCTGACCACTTTTAAAGAACAAAATGTTCTGAAATACAGTGCAACTTTTTGTTCTTTATCATAAAACACAACCACCTTGGAGAATTGTTCCAAAAGAAAAATGTGGCTTACTGCATTCTGCTCTTAGGTATTTATCTCTGTTATCCAAATGCAATAAAACAGTTTTGAAAATGAGTGGTTTGGGACTTGGTTTCTTTTTTGGCAATCATTCATCTCCACTTACTCTTTTTGATGTTCCATATAAAAGTTCTGTTTGCTCAGTTAGATTAGATAGGTAACCTAAGCAGTATGACAAGTTTATCAGATTTTAATTCCTATGTTTTAATTTTAAGAAGTGAAATACCACTTGTTTGTCTTTTAGCATGTTATTAAAGCTTCTATTAAAAAGTTAATAAGCCTTTCCTGGTTCAGTTTTACTGGTCCAGCTATATTTTTTTCTCACAGTGATGAAATATTCATGCATGTTTCAAGAGTGTCCCGCATGTAGCTTCACACTTAGTATGGACATACTTTCTTTCTAGATAGTCAGGTGATGACCAGTTCCACAGTGAATCTAATAATATGTTTAAATACTGTTTTACTTGTGCTCACCTTCTATTGCTTGTCATCATCACTTGTTGCATGCAAAGGAACAAAATGAAAAATTATAACTTCTGAAATAGGCATTAGGCTAATTTAGAGCCACAGATACTAACATGCATTAATCATAATTGCTGACTTACAATGCGGTGCTGCTGCAGGGCTGATCTAAGTTTGTTTTGGAGGCTTTCATACTGCATTTCAGTAATTCAAGATGTTTGGATTTTTTAAGTTTTTATCCTTAATCCTGGGTTTCCTGGGGTTTTTTGAATGTTTACTTTTGGGATAATTTATGCTTTACACATTATGCTATTATGCTTTATACCTTAAGTAACTGATACTCTTTTTCAGCCTTAAATCTGCCTTGATGTGGGTTTTGGGTTGGTTTGGTCTGGGAAGTTTTAATAGCTATTGCTCACTTGAGGCCTTTCATCCAACTAGCTTCCAGTGTATTTGAAGCTAAGATGCAAGTTATATAATGGAAGGTTATCATTCAGCAGGGAAATGTGGATACCCTGAAGCAGGAATTCATCAAGAGTTTTAAAGCAGCAGCATCCAACAGCATTAGGAAAAAAATATATTTAATCAGAGATAGTAAAGTTGAGATAATTATCAGATGTGCAGTTTTATAGGAGAACAATTAATGCTTCTTTCAGCATGGCAGTGGTGGTGGGGAGGCAGGAGAAGAAAGCTATGGTATTTTAATATTAAAAGCTATTAATTTTCTTGGAAATGGCAGCCATAGACTTCTACACAAGCAGGCACAGTGCATAAACCGAGAGCAGTACCTTTTAAGTTCAAGGAAGACACAGCAAGTGTACCTGGGCTGTAACTTTTCCTAATTATTTTCTTCCACAAATTTTAGCACATGGGCACTATTCCCCTCAATATGTGTTTACACACTGCTTCTGTGAGATCAATACCCGTTAGGAAATATGAGGTATGTTGCCATTTATAGAATTCTCTTTGCATAACATCATCCACAATTTTTTCACATCCTGTATACACCTGAGATATAAAATAATAGTTTAATCTCATATTAGTCTATTTAATGTATTTAAACTGTTCTCATTTGTGGTAGCAGTGAGCAGAAATGTTCAGGCACACAGGCTCAGACTGAATGGTTTTAGTCACAGTTGGCTTTAAAAGACCAAGTTATTTTATAAATTGTAGCAATATGAATGCTGATGCTTGAATGCTAATGTAAACAGTTGTCCATTGAGCTACATCTGTTGTTACTTGCTGAACACAGTGTTATAATTAAATATAAAATTATATACCTATGGCCTGTATCGGATCCTTTCTGTAGTGTCCAGGAACCAAAATACCAATGCCCTTGTTGTTGATCAACAGTTCCTCAGTTTAGCATTAATCCAAATTCTGCCTTAACTGAGCTCAGAATTACATGCATTGAAGACATTACCACAAAGGAGCCATCCAGTACATACATGTACACACATACACACACACAAATGTATCCTAAATGATGGAGACAGAAAATATGCCTTAATTCTCCCAAATAGTTTTGAGACTTCAAAATATTGGAATTAGGCTATTCTTGATAACTTCTTGTTCTGTGTCAACAAATGTGGGAATTTGTTCTTCCACATTTGCACGCACTTTTTATTTAGAAATTAGTTTGTGCAAATGAGTGCCACGTACTAGGTAATTAGTTTGACAGCTAAAGGAATTCGCTGTTTGCTAAAGCACATGCAAATAGGTTTTCTTTATTTCAATTTTTGAAAGAAGCATGCTTACCAAAATTTTAAGTGTCTTTAATGTTTTAAGAAATAAAAATTAATTCAATGACCACTATTAATTTCTTCATCTAATAATCTCTGCCAACAGATATTAAAATTATGGAATGCTGAATTGTGTTTTAGCCCCATCCCTGGAAGTGTTCAAGACCAGGTTGGATGGGGCCACGGGCAATCTAGTACAGCGGAAGATGTTTCTGCCCATGTATGGGAGTTGGGACTAAATGATCTTGAAGGTCCCTTCCTACTCAAACCATCCTACAATTCTTCCCTCTCCTGTTCATATGTTGCTTTTTTTCTAGCTTTCCTGTATGCTTACCTTTCTCATGCATGCAAATTGCATTTTCAAGCAATGTATACATCATAATCTCAACAAAATCCAAATAAATATATGCATCTTTGTAACAATCAAATACCAAGGACTAAGCTGTATTTCCTGAAGGAGTACCTGTTTGCCTTTATTATGCATAGGCTTTAAGAAAAGCCTTTCAGCTTTATTCTGTGATTATTGAAACAGTCAAAGACACTTAACTGTCCTATTGGACTTCCTTCTCCTTTGAAGTTCCCTTCAAATGCTTGGTAAGAACTGGAATGGCAGGTCCTATAAATTAACTTTCTTGCCTGAAGATTAAATGGTTGCGTTTCTGTTGCCACACAGAACCAGAAAAAAAAAATAATTAAAAAAAAATTGTTGTGCTTTTTTCTATTTTAAATTTACTGAGTGAATGGAATAATACAGCAGTGAGAGACTGGCTTCTGTTTCTGTTCACCTGCTGGCTTTTCTTAGTCTACCTAAAATGCAAACAGGCCAGAGAAGGTAAGGGGTTATGGGAAAGCCTGCTGGCCAGCCATTTCCGACAGCAGCTGGAGAAGTGCTGCTGGGGAAGAGCACGTGAACCTGGCCACTCTTTCATCTGTTTGGAATGTATCTAGTGGCTTCACAGAGTATTTCTAGGTCTAAAAGCATGGCACATGCCAACTGACAGTTTTGTTTGCCTCACCTACCTTCCACCTTCATGCTTGGTTAACTTTCCTTGTATTATCACCTCAGCCTTCTCTCCAAATTGAGAAGCTTCAGCTTTTTTATTGTGCTGTTACAAAGCTGCCACTTTACCCACCCAATCCTTGTAGTTGTCCTTGGTACCATGTCTCATCCTGATTTGTCCTTGACACACAAGAACCCAGATCTGCACTATACTCAAGATTCTGGTACACCAAAGTTTTATAGAGCAGCAAAATACTCTTCCCTTGTTCTCAGTACCCTTCCTGGTGACACCCAGTGTTTCGTTGCCTTATTGGGTTGCTGCTGCAGATCAAGCTGATGATTTAAGTTTGAATTGGTAGGTACAATTTTGGAATTCATTGTATGGGCATGGTTCAGATTTTCCCCACACACATGCCATTGTTTCATATCCTGAATATCCAGAATACTGCAGAGAGTATAGTAATTCAAATATAGGACAAAATTCCAAAACCAAACACTGAATTGACAGCACAAACATTGAATTGCAGTGACTGCAGGGGGGAATGTTTAGCTCTCTAAAGCAGTACAGTGGCAAAGAAGACGGTCTCGGGTGCAGATACAGGACTCATGCATGCACAATTATTCACTTGTCTTGCATACGCCTGCACTGTATCTGACTGCTGTATATTCCCTGGCAGTGTGCAAAGCCAGATTGGATGGGGCTCTGAGCAACCTGATCTAGTGGGAGGTGTCCCTGCCCATGCAAGGGGATTGGAACTAGATGATCTTCAAGGTCCCTTCCAACTCTAACCATTCTATGATTCTATATTTTTTTTTAAATATCAGTTTTTATATGTAGCCAAGACACTTCAGATAAGACACTTAGAAATTTTGCTTGGAGGTCCCACATAAACAATTAGATTACCTACTCAGGATATAGATTCTTAACTAATCTGTAAAATGTAACATCTTCACCCTGATTGCATTTGCTTTAGCAATGTTTGTGGATAGTGTTCAACAAAACTGTAAAAAGCTAAATTAGATTATTGGACGGTTAGGGCCAACTTTCTTCTAAATCTGGATCCAGTACCATTAAGCACCCAGATTTTAAAAAATTCGGCACTTAGAGGGAAAAAGGGAGTTACTAGACATTACGTGGTTCCTTCTGTCTCTCATGTTAGATGTCTACTGGAGACTAAGGATTAGCCCTAACTGGAAGTTTTAAGCAACCATCTCCACACACAGAAGAAAGCAAAATTTTAGAAAATGTTTCCATCCCACAAACTCTGCCACTGTTAGACACCAAGGTCTGGATTTTGTTACAAACTTTGTCATCTGTAGTCTTAAAAGCAACCTTTGTATGAACAACCTCACTGAAGTCAAGAGATATTTTTGCTTTAGAAAAAGCTAATAAAAAGGCTAACCCAGCCTTAATCTTTTGCTTTTGAGCAGCATCACAGGCTCTTCAGTTGCCCCTTCCTTCACATTTAAGCAAAGCCAAAAAAAATATTCCTCGAGCTTTTCATAAATTATCTTTGATTCTAGTACTGGAATAACAGGCAGCTGTGAGCTGGCTACAACAGCTCTGTTCACTGTCTATCTTTGACATTCCCTGGAAAACTTCCCTTACCCCACAATGTCTGTGTTCAGACCCTATTTTACAAGGGACTCTTGTTTTCCTGGCCTTCAGTGGCAGTTTGTGCACATGAGCCCAGATTAAATAGAACGAGCTCTTTTAAACTTCCTATTTATTAAGTGAAGCATAATTTTCTTGCATTTCTATCACTTGTGCCTTTACAAAGCTTTGACTGAGTCTGGTTTTGGATATTTTGGTTTTACCTTCATCTGTCTACTGTTTCATGAAATTTCA